TTTTTTCATACTATCAACTGTCAATCATACTCTTATTCATTCATTTCTTTTTTTTTTCTTTTTTTTGTTCGTCAATTAAAAATTTTCATTTACAAGGTTACTATCGAATTATTTCTATAACAATATGAAAAAAGAAAGAATTAGATCTTATTGATTTGATCAAAGATATGCATTCTTTTTTTTTCTTCTCATTCATGTCAGTCAAAACCAGAATGGCATACACCCTAGGGTATTTATGTCCGTGTTTTCTGTCATTCGAATCAATATACAGTGTCAATTGAGTAATTTAAGCATCGTTTGTCTGAGCATATGCAGACACAGCTGCTGTCATGCAAAATTCCAAGACGAATTAGTATATTTTGGCTGTTGCCTTCTTTTCTTCTTTTTTTTTTGGTTAGATATGTGTCATGCAGTGCGTTTGTTTACACATTCGCGCATGTCGCTTATATGTGTAGCCTTATAAAGGCTAGGCACAATCATCACTCGCCTCGCCCACTTTACAATTGAAAAGTTTAGATTTAATTTATTTCTTTCAATTGTTGTGAACGAACCCTTCATATAGAAAGTGTAAGTGAATAGTCATTTAATGGCATCGTCTGCACGAATGAAGGATGATAGAAATCGACATTATAGGAAAATACATATAGTGTATCAATATGAAGAGAAAGTGAGGTCAAGCAGATGGTGAAGACGGAAGTCGTCATCGTCATTCTTCGAACAACAATCGAAATCTTAATAGTCATTTGAATAGAAAAAGAGAAGTATATGTCAAAAAGCACAATCTAATAATGATACGACTTCAAACGAATGAAGCTGTTCTCTTGAGATTAATCATCAATACAGTCGCGGTCACGCTTCACGCTCTCATCTAAAATTGAGCTATGAACACATACACACACCAATAATATACACGTTTTCTTTCAATTTTCTTCTGTCTAATATAGAGACTGCTATTCAATAGGGAATCATTTTCTTTTCACTTCATTTCCCCGTTTGCTCGTTTATTCTTTAACTTATATTTGTTGTGCTTACTCTCTGCTTGATGTATTGATTAGTTTTTGATGGCTATATGTTGATTATCGACATATATATATATACATACACAAACATTTATAAACAGCAAGTTTGCTTCTTTAATCATGGGGTCTCATAAAATACCATTCGTCCATGTCAACACATACGAATACAATCATCCGCATCATTTATAGTTCATTAGAATAACAGAAAAAAAAAGAAAAATTCAGATCTTCTTAAATTAGATTCACTAACCATTACTGCGATTAGTACCAATACATATAGATAGAATGATAAATCTTTGAACATCCGACACACACCGTCAATATTGATTGGGTTATATAGATAAGAAGAAAAAAAATGAGAATAGGGGACCATTGATCAAGGTCAGATGGAGCTTTTCTTTCGCTTTCTCTTTCTCTTTTTTCCATCGCTCAGTATCATCGACTTTTGTATGTTTGATGCATGATGCAATCTAACACTATCGACAAGGTGCTTTCTTCCGGCTCTACTAATTGATGACGTAGCATAACTACAAACAACAACAGCACTATTCAGGCCACATTAATAAAAATGTTTTCATCATCATCATCATCACTACTATCATCCTTCCTGCTATTGCGTAAGCCTATTTGAATTAATCTATATCGCTATTGTATATATGTATGTGGACGACGTGCAAGCATGCAGTGTGTGTAATTACTCTGTTGTAAGCAAGAACATAACGTTTTCATTGTTCAAACACATACAAAGACTTTTAATAGGAATTGCCAACTTTTTTTTTCCTTCTCATTTCATTCTTTGTATTTACGTAAAAGCGTAACTTCCGTGTAATAGAAATTATATTACATATATATATATATATATATTTCAGATAATAATAATAATAATAATGCTAATAATATTCCGATTGATTTTATTCATATTACTTTTTATTGACAATGGTCTATCATCAGATTGGAATTGTACTATGAATAAAAATTCGATTGATAAACAACAATATTTTCTTTTTTCGAATGATCAATTTGCTGAACAGTGTACAATTACAGTTGAATATATAAATGGTCAAAATGAAAAACTAGTATGTATTACACATACATTAGCAATTAAAAGTCTACCGCCATTATCACTGTCGTCAAATCATACAATGCAAACATTTAAAATACATTCATGTCAATTGTCTGCAATTGATCAATTGCCATTTTCATTACCATCATCAGTTGAAATACTCGATTTAAGTTATAATTCATTGTCAACATTTATTCTTTCATTTCCATTACCATCAAATCTTAAATATGTTTATCTTGATTCAAATCCAAATTTAATTCATATTAATTTTGGTAATAATCGTGTACAACAACGACTTATCGGTCTTAGTCTTCGTCATAATAAAAAAATGCAAATTTCATCTTTACCACCTCATTTAACTCAACTTGATTTAACCGATTGTAATCTATTACAATCATCAATATTACCATTATTAATATCATTAACAGAATTAACTCATTTATCATTAGTTGACAATCAACTTGAAGATTTACCTTCTTTGGATGAAAATATACAACTTGAATATCTCAATGTATCAAACAATAGTTTAATATATATTGAAGGTAAATGGTTACATCGACGATTACATACACTCGATCTTACATTTAATCAAATACAATCATTAGAATTTTTAAAAGATAAATTAAATAAAAATCAATCATTAATTTATGATCATCATGATCAAGTAAGTAAAAAAAAATAATCAATGAAATCTTATTTTTAATTCTTTCGTCATATGAATATATACACATTCTCACTCATTACGACTCGAATACTATCAAAATTATGTAATTCTATATGGAAATATAATATATATACATTTGCATTAAGAGTATCCCCCTCTTTTGGACCACTTCTGCTTCTCTGCAAGAATATAACCTGTTGGGCTCAAATTCTTATCACAGCTAGATTATCAGAAATGATGAGATCCATGTTCAAGGTTAAAAATACTTTTGAGATTGTGTCCAAGTTACTTCCACAATATATTTCAGGCCGATCTGACAAATTAAAACTGTGATCGTCAGTCAGCCTAATGAAACTCTGAAAATCTACTGTTCAAATTTTTTTCTCAAACATAGATCTCATCATTTTTTACCATCTATCTATAGTAAAAGTTTGAGTCTGACCGCTTATATTCTCGCGGAGAACCAAGAGTGATCTAAAAGATGGAACGGATACCCTTAAGAAAATTCAGACGTCCCAAGGGTAAAAAAAAAAGAAGATATTTCATAGGTTTGTCATGATTGATAATACAATACAAAAAAAAATTAATAAGGAACAGTTGTTCTCATTTTTATAAGCTTTACATACCCAAAGCGTAACAATTTCCTATAATAAGAAACGTTTGATTAATGCGTAAAATGAATGCATAGTATTAACTGAAATATAGTGACAGAGATAAGTTTAGAGCAGTTGTATTTTTGAATTTTCTTCTCGATGATAATAGCTAGGAAGAATCTGAAAAAACATTTCAATAGCTGAAAGGATTCTCTATCGAAATTTATGAATCAAAAAATTCCAATCAAACTGCTCGGATGAGGATGTCTAGAAAATTAAGACCTCTCAAAAACCATTTTGATGGTATTCATTTGAAAATTTTTGCGAATGGTTTTATTTAATAGCGCGAAATGAGGTGTCTCAATTCTTTTTACGGCCTTCCTTCATCGAACTGTATTCAATTTATAGCAGGTTTTAAAACGTCTGACACAGCGAAGCCATTGAAATTTTTCATAAAAGAAAAAAAGAAAAATACTTCTTGGGTCTTCTATAAATTGAATGCTGTTCAATCAAGAAACGTCATAGAGTGTACCAAGACGTCTGATTCTGCTCTATCAAATAAAATCAATTCCAAAAAGCTTCAAATGAATGTGAAAAAAATAGACTTTGAGATGTTTTAGTTTTTCAGACATCCTCATCGAAACAGTTTTATTGAAGTTTATAGGTCGACAAATCCTGATAGAGAATCCTCTTAGCTGCTCAAATATTTTTTCAGATTCTTCCTAGCTATTAATATCGAATAGAAAAACTTAAAAATACAACTGTTCTAAACTTTTGTCCATCATTATTGAATTCTTTAATTTAATCAACGGACTTTGTTTTCTTTTTATCTAGATAATAATCGATCGTACTCTTCAACTTTCATTATATGGTAATCCATTGAAATGTGATTGTTGGCTTAGTGCTATACTTGATTTATCTTCATCATTTATAATCATTACTGATTTACATTTACTTCAATGCCATTCACATCCAGTTATGGACATTTCTCACAATGATCTTTTATGTTCATATTCACGTCATTGTTCATCCGATTGTTCGTGTTGTGATTTTGAAGCATGTGATTGTCATTCTGTATGCCCCTCAGATTGTTCGTGTTCACATGATGTTCAATGGTCACGTCATATTGTTAAATGTTCACAAACGAATTTATCAAATATTCATATTCTTTTACCACAAACAATCACTGAACTTAATTATGAAGAAAATAATATTGAATATATAAAACCATTCGTATTCGTTGGTAAAACATCATTAATAAAATTAAATTTAGCAAAAAATAATTTACAAAATATAACCAATGAAACATTTTGTGCAGCATCAAATTTATATGAATTAAATCTGAGTCAAAATCCAAATTTAAATCGAATACTTCCATTTATAAATGAATTATTTGGATGTTTAAAATATTTACAACATATTATTCTTTCAAAAGATCAAATTAATAATAAAGAACAAATAAGTAATGAATGGATGATTATTTCTAATAGTAATGATAATATAATTCGTCTCTCACGTGTTACACAAAAATTCTCAGGTTTGTCAAAAAAAGCTAAATTATTTTTATTTAATTCCATTAATGTTTTATTTTTTTTTAGTAACACCATCGAGTACTACACTTTTATCTATATTAATGTCTACTACGAATGGTTCGACACATAATTCTCAATCTCAATTCATTCCATCTATATATCAACGAGAATGTACTACATTTATACCTTCTACTGAATTGACTGTTATTCAACATGTACCATTTATTCAACATAAACAAACTCTTATTATAATTGTTTTTTTTCTTTTATTATTTCTTTTACTTTTTCTTATGTTACTTATTATATTGGCTCTTTGTCGACGTAAACTTCGTCGTCATTTAACGGCTGAACTTCGACGACAACGTTCTCATCATTATTATTATCATACTAGACTACATCAACCATCAACTAAAACTACTGATAATCATGGTACTGTAGGAACAAATGATAGTCTCTATGAACAATTACCATCACTTTCATCAGATAGTGAACAACCATTTTTATACAATGAAAAAAAATCAAATGTTATAAAAGCTCCAACTCTACCACCACATCCAACAACATTTCGTCATCATTTTTGTTGTCATCCAACAAGTCATTTAATCCATACGCCAACACTGAATACACATGAATATCAATATGCTACAACAACAACCACAGGTTATTCAACACCAACTTCACAACAACATCAATGTGCTGCTATTCTTGTATGGGCTAATCGATTATTTTATCCAACTCAAAATACACATGATCGTCAAGATTGTACAACACATTCTTGTCCATCCGAATTACAACATTTACAACAATGTTTACTTTTAAATCAACAAGATCAAACATCAATAACAACAGATAATAATATTATGCGTTATTGCAACAATGAAACACTTCTTGTGCCTACCACTAATTGTCGATGTGGTAATCATATACAAAATACGGACATGTATATTTATCCTCATGTACATAGATGATGTTTATAATATGTAGTTAAAACCAAAAAAAAAAGAAAGCAAAGTGTGTATTGTAATAACGGTGTTTTTTTTCTGAATAAATTACAGACAATAGAAATTTTAACTAATTATCAAATATATTTTTGTTATCTCTTTAAGTAACCGATCGGGATTATTTCAAGCAAGACACAACTTATATAAAATTATCAAATTAGAAATGTATCTGTTTTAAAATATTTCACGAGTTCTTTTCTAAATTCATTATAAA